AAAAAAAAAAAAAAAAAACAATCAACAAATTCATGCATGGTTGATTGTTGTTGAGTATTTGTGGTGTTGTTCAATGGCTTCACCTGTGTAACCCACGGCCCCCTTATGACCCCTATATATCCCGTGCTTCTCACCCTTAACCCTTAACAACCCTTATTGCTGCAGGCAACCCCAAACCCGAAACCCGATTAACGTATCCACTTCATTTTCCTGTCGATCCTCCATTACTGTATTCTAGTGACATAACAGCCAAAAGGCCCTGAGCTAAGGCCCTGCTGAGCCGAGCTGCAAATCCAATGACGCAAAGCACGCAAAGGAAGACAGTCGCAGAAGCATCACACACCTGGCGATGCAAAGGGTTCTACAACCAGGGTGTCCTGGGACCTAAGGAATACATAGAGATGTTGAGGAGGCTTTAGTTTTAGGGTCCTTTCAGAAAGTCGAAGCTATTTGCTTCTGCATCATTCCTCACCTCTCCTTGCAACGGGAGGAAGATCTCCTGTACGGCCTCATTGATTGCCATGGTCGTGAAACCTGATGTGCGCTGGCAGGGTCAGGACAAGACAGATGTCGTCGCCATGCCACAACAGCAAGGTCTTCAAACGCAGAGGAACGCCAAGCCCGAAACACACTTGCCGCACAAAAGTGATGGCTTCCGACACTTGGACAAGACGGCTGAGATGTTGTACAGCTGGCCACAAGCAAACATGCACACATGTTTGATGCAGTACATCATCTTCATTGTTCCTTCCTCTGATATTAACACCCCAGGCACTAGTATCATGATTGCCTGCATCCGCCCCACATGCATGGGGGTGCTTACTATCAGTGCAAGGGACTCTAGTCGCCTCAAGATAGGCGCATGTCCTTTCGCGACGCTGCAGGACTGCTCCTTTGTCTGGCAACATGCAGGCCCCCTGACGCGAGCTTGCTTAGGAATCCCTATAGAACAACCTCACAAGCAGGTTTGCGTTCTGTGACGTTTGCCAGGGGGCCCTCTGAAGGTTGCCATGAAATGACCAAGCTGCACACTTGAGGAGCTCTGGAGTAGATTTCATCCAGCGTTTTGCTTTGGGTAACGCCATCACCCAAAAGCCAATCGGAACAGGGAAACAACCTATTGAAAACAAGTTGCTGCCTCGCTCTCAGGCTTCATCACATCAAGTTGCATGTGGCGTTAAACTTGCGGGCGCCAGCCAAGCAGCATTCCTCTGCCTTACAAGCTGGACACTCTGCACTCTATGCAGGTACATATACGTGTATATGTACATATGCGCGCACGCACGCACGTACATACATACTTGCGTGCATACTTGCGTGCACAGGAATTTCTGTGTTCTTGTCTTTGCGTGCATGTGTGTGTGTGTGTGTGTCTGCCTGGCTGCCTAGCTGTCTGTTTGTCTATGTGCATGTATATGATGTGCGTGTCTGTGTGTGTGTGTCTGTGTATGTCTGTTCTTGCATGTATCCACGTACATACCCATGCACGCATGCATGTCTGTAAACAAGTATAGGTGCAGGATGTACACAAGAGCAGTTTAGATGTCTTACATCTACGCATGTACACGGGCCGAAGATTGGAGCTAGACGTAGCCACTTGTCACATTTGTTGCGGCATCCCATCTATGACATCACCTACAATGCTAAGCTCCCTGACTATAGGGATTATATAGGGGAAATATTGGGATAATGGAAAAGAAAATGGAAACTACTATAGTATATTGGGGTTATGCTTAAGCTCCCTACTCGTTCCGCTGGTGCCGGAGAACTTGCCACTGCCGCCGCCTGGCAATCCCAGGGCCAGGGCGTCATCTGATAAGCTCCACATCAAAGGGTTTAGGATTGGGGTTATATAGAGCTTAAGCTTTAGAGTTTAGGGTTTCGGGTTTAGGGATATATGGGGGTTATGTAAGGGTTATAAGGGGATAATGAAAATCAAATGGAAACTGCTACATTATAGGGTTATATAGGGTTGTATCAACTACTTCCCCGACCCCCAAAGCCCTAAAAGATTCCGAATATGGACCCCCTCAAAAGGGCATCTATTGAATCTATTGCTGGGATGTTCCATTTTGGGGATCATTTACGAAAAAGCCTACATAGTCTACTGTCAGCTCAAGGGGGGGAATGTGGGTTTTCATGCGAGTGCGGGTGGAGGTAAACCCCCCACCCGAAAGCCTTTACATCCCTACATAATCCCCAAGCCCTAAACCCCATGCATCCTCCCATGTGCCTCAGACCCCCTCAAGAAGCGCCTGTGGGTGTAGCTGCGACCCTCTCCCGTGCCTGGAAAGCAAGCTGGGAAACTTTCATTCTTGACTCGACGGATCGAAATATAGGGAGTTTATGGGATACATAGGCGGATATATAATAGGATTGAAGTGGAGAATCATATTGAGAAGAGAATGCTAAAAGCAGGAAACTCAGATGAAATCTTGACTTAGTTTTTTTTGAAGCTGGCTAGGGGACGTTCTTCGGGGATGGTTACCAAACATTAGCTTAGGCGTACCAAGCCAAAAGATCATCCAAGACTACACATGCCAACAAGCCTGTGGCCCCGGCCGTTAGCCCCAAGTCAACACTATGCGGAAAACATTCCTTTTCTTACTGGTCTAGCGTTGTGGGCCGAGGGGTTTGTCACAATCTTGCCCCTACCCAGATTAAATCTTGGTGGCTTCTGGGGCGTCTTACCATGTAGGTCCTATGCTTCGGGGGCACATTCCCAAAGCACAGGGAAAGCAAACTTCCATCCTTAACCCTGTACAGTGCATTACATGCCTATACCTCCCAATATAACGTCTACCTTTAAATGTAAAACCGTACTGTAAGCTGAGGACCACTTCTTGGCTTCATCCTTCACTGCGGACAGAAAGTCTGCCAACGCCTGCGCTGGCTGAGTTCGGGTCCGCGAGCACAAGGGTTTAGGGGGTTGGGCCTTAGGGTGTTTTAGGGTTTAGGGGACCTGGAGAACCTTGAAAATGTTGGGGATGTCCATAGGGCCAACTGGCGGAGTGTCTGTACACAGAAAAGGCGAGGAAGGGAGGGAGGGAGTCAAAGAGAGAAAGATGCAAGTGAATTTGAGAAACCTCCGGTTGACTGCGTCTCTGCCATAATTAATTCCTTCATTGGGGTCCAAATGGTACGGGTACCATACATACATACATACATACATACATACACACACACACATATATATATATATGTGCATGTTCCCTGGGGGCCGTTTAAAAAACACGGATTCTCCTTCTCTGATGAATTTACCGCGGGCCCATAAGGGGAAACAACCCGAAAATTGCCAGTCTCCCGGGTGCCGGCCTTGTGGTAGCCATCAACTGCCATTTTCCTTTGCAAGTCAAGCAGGAGTAGAAAGCCTATGAGCTAGGTGGACCCCCCACCCTGTCATAGGGGTATGCTAGGAATATAAGAGGACCCTGATATGAACAGCAGCATCCCTAGCAGTCACTATTATTGGGTGGAGGGGTCTAACTTTTTTTTGCAACAGAAGGGGTCTAACTTAAACCCTGAACCCTATACATATACGTACACAATTACATGATCTTTAAGGAGTTCAGGGGTCCACCTAGGCTAGTAGCAGTTTCAGCGTGCGTAACTGACGGGGCTCGAGCGAAAAGCGCCCCTGCGGAGTGAGGGCCAAAGTTCGCAACCTCACTCATGCGACAATCCCAGGGCGGATCTAGAAAGTAGATCC